GCTGGTCACTGTGAGGGGGCTGGTCACTGTGGGGGCTGGTCACTGTGGGCGTTTGGCCATTCACTGTTGGGCCTGGTGGGGCCTGGCAGGTCTGGGCAGAGCATGGGGTGCTTGGCTGAGGTGTGGGTCTGAGCCCTGCTCCCCACTGCCTGAAAGGGAGACCTGGCCTGGCGAGGGCGTGGGCGCTGGGCGCGTGGGTTCCCCAGCACCTTTCCATCCCTCTTCCAGGTGCTTTTTGGGAAAATTTATTCCTCGTTCTACCATTTTGGCCCCCAAGGGCCTGTTGATGGCAGCACTGCACCCCTGGCCAGGAGGAGCAGGGCGCCCCTGGGAAGATGGAGACCCCTGCCCACCAGGGCTGCTTCCTGGGGCTGCGGATCTGGGCAGGGCCAGGCTGAGCCTCCCCTGGGCCTGAGGCTCCTCTGTCTTGCCTTCTGTTCTGAAGCAAGCCTCCCCCAAAAGCCCAGCACCGGCCAGGCTTGGGACAGAGGCGGAGGCTGTCCAGGATGCTGTGGCCTTCGTGCTGGCAGGCGAGCCCGCCTTCCTCACCTCCCTTTCTCTCCATACTCTGCCTGGGTCCCCATGGTCCGGCCAACCACTGTCCCCTCGCTCTCACTGACGCCCCTGCCCCCAGTCGTGGAGTCGGGCGATCTCTGGGGGAAACACCTGCTCCGCAGCCCCCGGCACTCCCCCAGTTATTCTCTCGGTCAGGGCTTCCAGGCTGTTGAGAGCCCCCTTGCAGCAGCGGAGGAAGATGAGAGACCCCTCCCCCGACAGCATCCACATGCCCCCATACAGTTTTGTGGACAGCCGCAGAGGTCACCACAGGGTAAGAACCCTGGGGATGTCCTCTCACTCAGGGCTTGCTCGGCCGCCTTCACCTTCGTGCTGGTGCCCTGAGGACCTGGAGGACCCGGTGGTGAGTCTAGCTGCTGTTTAGGCAGCTTCCGCAGGAATCCTGAGGCCCTGGTGACACACCAGTCCCTCCACCCCAGCAAGCATGTCCCTCAGGCAGCACTGTGCCCGCCTAGGTGATCCACGGGCTAGGGCAGGTTGAGGCTGGGCCCTTTCAACCCGGGAGCTCCATTCAGGGTGATGGCAGGAGCACGGGCACCCTTGGAGTAGAGAGAGACCCACACATGCTGGCAGGCAGGCAGTGATGAGGGGCATGCCAGGGGAAGCTGGGCAAGAGGGGTGTGTGAAGAGCTGGGGTGTCCTGCTGGCCCCAAACACCAGCTGGCGCTGGCAGCTCCCCACGGCCCTCCCACCTGCCCTGGAGGCTGCAAGACCTGATGGGGGACAGCCTGGGAGCTGCCTCCTCCTCCTCTCTGCTCCTCTCCTCCTTCCTCCTCCTCCTCCTCCTCCCTCCACCATCCTCCTCACCTTTTCCCTCCTTTCTCTTTTCTCTTCCTTCCCCCTCCTTCTCTCTCCTCTTCCCTCCTCCCCCTCGCTCTCCCTCATCCCCCTCCCTCCGCCTCCTCTCCCTTCTCCCTCCTTTTCCTCCTCTTTCTTCTCCTTCTTTCTCCCTCCTTCTTCTCTTCCCTCCTTCTTCTGTTCCCTCCTCCTTCCTCATCGTCATCATCCTCCTCCTTGCTGGCTGAGGGCCACCATTCCCATCTGGAAGCTATCACTCAATACTGCCTCCCAGGCTTGAGGCCCTGAGCCAGCCCAGGAGACCAGCATTTTCCAGAAACCATTCCATTCCTCAGGAGAAAGAACATCCACGGCCTTTCTCCTCCCCCCGCCCCGCCAACCCCTGCAGAGAGGATCTTGGGCAGTGGATGGGCCCACCCAGACCTCCCCGAGGCCTTCGCCGTCAGAGGCTGCTGCGTGGTCAGGGCTGCCCTGGCTGTTTTCTTTACCCTCATTCTAAATGGAAATAGACACACAAGCGAATTGAACGTGCTTCCTTGGGCCGTGCTGCCAGCTCTGCTCTCTCAGCCCAGCAAGCTCTTTCATTTCCTGTGCGAGAGGCCAGCTAGAGGAGAGGCCGTAGGGGTGGGGGCCAGCAGGAAGGAGCTTTGGGGGAGAAGCCAGGCGCCCAGAACGTTGGAAAAAAATCTTTACGCTCCCTGCTCCCCATGCCTAGCCCCTTCACCTGTGCTCATGCATGCAGACACACATACAGATGTGCCAGATGCAACTCGCAGCCACCACACCCATACGGCAACAGGGGCAGGCGAAGACCGGCAACAGATACTTGCACACAAGTGCACACACACAAGCACCTGCACATGCACACACTCATGCACACATGTACACACACACAGAAGCACCTGCACCTGCACACACATGCACACACACACACTCATGCACACGACACACACGCAGAGGCACCTGCACACATACTCATGCACACACACACTCATGCACACACGCACACACACACTAATGCACACACATGCACACACATGCACACACACATGCGCACGCACACACCTGCACATGCACACACACACTCATGCACACACACACAGATGCACCTGCACACGCACACAAACTCATGCACATACATGCACAGTCACCTGCACAGGCAAGCACACACATACCATGCACATACACACATGCTCACACAATCATGCACACACTCATGCACACACATGCACACAGACGCACCTGCACATGCACACACACATATGCACACACACACAGAGGCACCTGCACCTGCWCACACATGCACACACACACTCATGCACATGACACACACACAGACACACCTGCACACGCACACTCATGCACACACATGCACACACACACACTCATGCACACACACACAGACGCACCTACACATGCACACAAACTCATGCACACACATGCACAGATGCACCGTCACCTGCACAGGCAAGCACACACACACCATGCACATACACACATGCACACACACTCATGCACACACATGCACACAGACGCACCTGCACATGCACACACATGCACACACGCACACTCATGCACACACGCACACAGAGATGCACCTGCACACGCACACACACTCATGCACATGTACACACACACAGGCACCTGCACCCACACACTCATGCACACTCATGCACGCATACATGTACAAGGCACCTGCACATGCACACACTCATCCACACACTCATGTACACATACACAATCACCTGCACAGGCACAAACGTGCACACACCATGCACACACTCATGTACACACTCGTGCACACTCATACACACAGATACATACACATACAGGCACCTGCACATGCACACACACAGGCACATGCACACACACTCATGCACACACATGTACACACTCATGGGCACACACTTGTGCACACACACTCATGCACACACAGGCACCTGCACATGCACAGACTCATGTACATACACACACACACACACACACAGAGGCACCTGCCCCTGCTCACATACTCATGCACACACTCATGTGCACACACTCATCACACACGCACACACACTCATGCACCCACTCATGCACACTCACACTCATGCACCCACTCATGCACAGACACACATGCACACACAGGCACCTGCTCACACACACATATATATGCACACGCATACACATGGGCTCACGTTCATGCACACACATGCATGCACCTCAATGGGAAAAGTCTCTTGGCTGGGGTCTACCAGTGCCCTGCTGTGGCCATGCTGAGCTCACCATTCAGGCCAGGGCTGAGTGCACTGGGGTTTGGGGTGAGCTGGAGCCCACCCAGCTTGTACTGGAGTGTCCTCAGGACCCCGGCCCAGTGCAAACGTCCAGCTGGGGCCTCCCAGGCTGCTCTACAAGCCTGACCCACATATCAAGTCACCCTGCCTTGAAGCTGGCTGGGGACACAGAACTCAAGCCAGGTGCTCCCTGACCGTCTTGGTTACAGATCAGGGTGATAGGCTGGTTTGTGCACGGGGGACAAGGTGGGGTCGGAAAGGTGGTGACAGAGACGAGCCCCACAGCCCAGCGCTGGCTTCTGCAGGTATGGCCTCAAGCCCAGCACCATGGTGCCCCCTGGTGGACGGTGCTGCGGCCCCAGCACCGGTTCTTTCTGAGCCTCCAGCTCTGACCTGGATCTCTTGGTCTGGCCCTGTTGCCAGCCTTGTCTTCCATCCAGCTGTCCCTTTGCAGGCCACACACCCTCTGGGGGACAGTCTACCTGCCCTGTCATCTCCCCACTGGGGTATCCCATGTGGCCCTGGAGTCAGATAGCACAGGCTGGGGTTTTGGTGCCCGCCCAGGGCCGTGCTGTCCCTGCCCACACTCCTGTGCCCGGGAGCAGGAATCCTGGCTAGTGCTGGAGCTGCTGGCTCCTCCTCTGCTCCCCATGGGCCTGCCCAGGGCTGGCTGGCCCAGGCAGCAGCTCCAGGAGGTGACTCGATTCCTATCCTTGGAGGCGTTTATGAACCAGGGGTCATTCAACAAGCATTGCTGAACTTGGCGGCTGAGCTGAAAACCCTGCCAGCCCTGGGACCCAGGGGGCTCTGCCCTCAGAGACCCCCAGAGTGGTCCAGCTTCACAGGCTACACAGGGAAGCAAAGCCCCAGCGCATACTCTTCATGGCTGGGATGGGGAGATGGGAGGCTAGAGGGAGACGGGGGAGCTCAGGGTGCCAGGGAGGAGCTGCCCCAGATGGGGTAAGGTGAGGGCAGTGGGCCTAGCAGGGGCGAGATGGGTGTGGGGAGGCTGCTGCCAGGTGGGGTCTGGGCTGACCATCGAGGGCTGGCAGGGACCAGGACAGAGCCTATGGGGAGGAGTAGGAATGGGGTGACAGGGGCCACGGCTGTGGGGGTGGGGTAGAAGGGTCTATGGGGCCTCAGGGCTGTGGAGACCCCTCCGGCAGCTGGAAAGGAGGGAGTGCAGCTCAGGAGAACCCAGCTGGAAAGTGTAGCGAGGGGCATTGCTCCTGCCTTGTCTGGCCTCCTCCAAACGGGAAATGGATTGCACCCGGCACCTCCCAGAGCTTGCTGGGCAACAGAACCAGACCCTCCCGGGGACTTTGGAGACAGCTCCCAGAGTGAGAGGAGGGCCCTCTCTCTCTCTCTCTTTCTCTTTCTCTCCCTCTCTCTCTATTTTTCAGATGGAGTTTCATTCTTGTTGCCCAGACTAGAGTGCAGTGGCATGATCTAGACCCACTGCAACCTCCATTTCCTGGGTTCAAGCGATTCTCCTGCCTCAGCCTCCTGAGTAGCTGGGATTACAGGCATCTGCCACCACACCCAGCTAATTTTTGTATTTTTAGTAGAGACAGGGTTTCACCATATTGGCCAGGCTGGTCTCAAACTCCTGACCTCATGGGATCCCACCCGCCTTGGCCTCCCAAAGTGCTGGGATTACAGGCATGAGCCACCCCACCCGGCCAGGCCATCTCTCTCTTTCAGGGCTCCTGTGGGAACCCTTGTTGGGCATGTGGATGACAGGGTGAGGTAGGGCCTGGGGGAGGGGCCTTGGCGATCCAGGTTGGGGGTCTTTGCTGGCCAGCATCCCTGGGGCCTCTGCTTCTGCCTGGACACTCAGGCGAGAGGGTGAGGCATAGCCCTGACAGCCCTTGAAGGGGTCCTGGGGCATCTGGGAACACAGTGAACTCACCCCGGCCATGAGACCCTGGGCCTCCCTCACGGTAGCTGCAGCGCTCAGCACGGCTCCCAGAGTCAGGAGGCCCACCAGGCTCGACCCCACAGACAAGACTGGTTGGGAGGAGAGAGAAGGAGGGTTAGGGGCGCCAAGACAGGCCCTGAGTGCACACAGCCTGGGTCTGAAATCTAACTGGCTTCCAGGGCACCCAGCAACTGGGTCCTAGGGCCGTGTTAACAGACAGAGGGGTGGATGCAGCCTATCTCCTGGGCAGGGAGCTGTGGTCTGAGGCCCCTGCCCAGCTGGAAACCACAAGGAGCGGAGGGGAGGGGAGAAAGGGAAGGGAAGAGGTGGGGAGGGGAGGGGAGAAAGGGGATGGGAGAGGAGGAGAAGGGAGAGGAGAGGAGGGGAGGGGAGGGGAGGAGAGGAGGGGAGGGGAGGGGAGGGGCGAGGTCCGAGGGGGGGGGAGAGGAGGGGAGGGGAGGGGAGGGGAGGGGGGAGGGGAGGGGAGGGAAGAGCAAGGGAGGGGAGTGGAGGGGAGGAGCCGCCATGGGACCTTGGAGTCCAGTCAGGGCCCCATCTGACTTGGGAGTCAGGGGCTGTGCTGGACTTCTGGGGGCTCTGAGTGGGCCCCGGTCTCTCCATCAGACAGGGCCTTGAGGGAAGGAGGAGGGAGGTAGGACTCATTCAGCCTAGGGGACTGCCCCTCCTTCCCTATTTCCCTCTTTGCCCTCCCTGCCTGTGGGGCTATCTTTGAAGCCACATGCTCCCCACCATACCCTAGTGACAAGTGGCCGGAGTAAAGCTGTAATCTTATCAGCCCGGACCTGGACCCGGGCCCCAGGCGTCCTCCTCCAGGGAGGCCCTGGTCCTAGGACTTGGGGAAAAGCAGTGGGTTCTAAGCCAGCAGCCCTGACCTCCTAGGCCTCAGTTTCCCCACATCTGCCCACTGGGCTGCAGCCCTCCTGGGCCTCCTGAGCTCCCGTCTGAGAGTCCTCCACAGGTTCGGCTCCCGCATCCCCTCATGAAAGGCGCCTTCCTCGGCCTCACTCCTGCTCTCTGGATGTTGGACAAGTCACTGCTGAGTCTCTGCAGGGAGGCGTCTGGCTAGAGCAACCCCCACCCCTTCCCCACTCCGTCCCAGGAGCTAAGTGGAACATCAGCCGGTGTGGAGCCCTTTCCGTGGACCTGCTGAGCCCGGCCCCAGGCCAGTCCCAGGTGGTGCCTGCCTGGAATTGAGCCCTGACTGCACAGAGCCAAGTCCTGACCCTGCCCGACATATACCCACACTGTGCCCACGCTCCCGTGGGGCACGAGAGCCAGGCAGGAGCACCGGCTGTCACCCAGACCCCAGGCTCTGTCCTGGGGAGCGAGAACTCCAGGGCAGCCCCTCCCAGCCCCTGACCACTCCTGGTACCTGCCCAGGGCCTGGCACCATTCCGACTGTGAGACCTCACACCCAGCTGGGCTCCCACCAGCCACCCTTGCGCCCCAAGCCCCTCCCGACACAGCCAGGCCTGGATGTCGCTTACCCCATCGGTGCACAGCCTGGTACGGGTTCTTCTCCAGGGACGCTTGGCGGATGACAGCAAAGTGGGCCCCAAAGTAGGTGAGAGCCACCGTGGTGGCCACAGAGAGGCCCAGCAGCTGCGGACAGGGCAGAGTCAGTGTGGCCCCGGAAGGGAGACTCTCAGCCCGGGAGGCAGGGCTGGGGCTCTCTCCAGCTCCCTGGTCCCATGAGAGACAGGCTCAGCTGCAGAGTTTCTCGGGGTCTCTGTGGAATGGTCTCAGGGGACTTCACTGCAGATGCCCCAGCACCCTCTCGGGCACACACACACATGGCCAGACGTGCACACACTCACAGCTCGGCTTCCCCAGGCACCCAGGACCTCCAGTCATTCTGTCTGGGGTGGGAGTGAGCCCCACCTCATGCCAACACCCTCCTGGGCAGGAAGGGGAAAAGATCCCTGGTGCCCGGCAGCCAGTGCCCCTCCAGCCCAGCTCGCCCAGGCCTGGGCCCCCCTCAGGCCTCCTCCAGGCCCTGCACTGCCCCTCAAGAGGAGAGATGGGCTGTCCACAGCGGTCACTGCCTGCCAACTGTCTGCCACCAGAAGCCCCAGGCACATGTCTGCAAGGGCAGGACGGGGACCGTAGGGCTGTTGTTTGTGTGAGGGGAGGGGTAGCCCCAGTGCTGGAGGCCTGGGGAGCAGGCTTCACCCCTGCTCACCCCCACCCACCACCCACTCCTGCCCTATTACCAAGACAAAGAAGCAGGTGACCAGCATCTGGCATTTGGCAACCCTGACTCGACTCCAAGGCCCCATGGCGGTTCCCCTCCTCTTCTCTCCTCCCTTCCTTTTCCCTCCCCTCTCCTCCTCTCCCCTCCTCTTCTGTCCCCTCCCCTCCCTCCTCTCCCTGTGGTTTCCAGCTGGGCAGGGGCCTCAGACCGCAGCTGCTGGCCCCGGAGGTAGGCTGCATCCGCCCTCTGTCTGTCTGTCAACAGGGCCCTAGGACGGAGCTGCTGGGTGCCCCAGAAGAAGGGCAGGCAGGAAAGGGAGGGGCAGTAAGGTCGGCCTCCTCACCCCACCTCACCCTGCTGCTCCCAGCCCGGCCCAAGATGCCAGGGCATTTGCTGACACCTGAGGCCCTTTGAAGCCAGGAGGACACGGCCTCATTTCTGGTGTGGCCACTGAGGACGGCGCTGAGAGCAGAAAGTGACGAGCAGGGCTGAGTGTGGGGTGCGGGGAGACGCGCCCGGAGAGGAAGGGTGAGCTCCCCGAACGGGGGATGTGCAAGTGTGGAGTGGGCCTTGGGGGCATGATCGCTGGAGGAATTTGGAGACGGGTCTTGTTGGAACGCCATTGTGGAGGTGCTCTTAGGAAGCACCATTTGAGATGTCCAGTGACAAGTTTTGAGAAGGTCCTGGTTTTTGATGCCTTCAAAAACCAAATACCCTAAGGTGCGTTTTGTTGCAGAGCCTTCCTGGGGCCACCGGGTAGGCTGCGTCCTCTCTCACAGCCACGCGTGGCCTCCAGGGGGAGGCTTTGACAACCTTGAATTTGTAATTACACAAAGCCATGTAATTACACGTGGGCGGGGCCCTGCTGCAGGCCCCAGTACAGGCAGGGTTTTTGTGGCCTCTGGGCGAGGGTGGGCCTGGAGAGGGTGAAAATGCTCCAGGTGAATCCCCGTGCAGGGACCACTCTGGGCGCTCCAAGGCGGTGCTGACAGGTGCCTCTGCTAGCCCTCCCCACCTCTGCCGTCCCCTTCTGCCGGTGCTGAAATTGCTTCTCCTACATTTGGTTGGGACCTCATGGCGGTGGGGGGAGCCAGACCTGCAGGTGTGGCCACCCAAGTGGCTGTGGGAGGATGGGTGGGCTGCTGCCTGCCAGGAGCTGCTGGGGGAACTGCTCAGACCTCCTCCTCCCTCCCGCTTCGCCCAGCACCCCGCCCCAGACAGCACCCTTGGTAGCTCTGGCCCCCAGGAATTCCCGTCCTGAGTCTGAGGGGCTTGTGTGGGCCTCAGATGCCTGGCATCCATAGCATCACTTTAGCTGGAGGTCCAGGTGTGGCTCAGGCTGGGGTGCAGGTATGAATCCAGGGGTGGCAGCAAGTGTGAAGGGACCAGATCCAGGGTCAGGAGGCCCCCGGACTGTGCAAGTGGCCAGCTCGGCCTGTCCCGGGAAGCTGCTCTGGGCTATGTCCAGCCCATCCCTGGAATTGTCCTCTGTCCTTGGCCGCCCTGGATCCTGTGGGCGGGCCTGGAACACCACGCCCTCCTGGGGTGCCTCTTTGCCAGGTCTGAAGAATTTTGGAGCAGGGTGGTCCTGGGCTCTTGACCCACCCTGGTGGGCACCTTCTCACACCAGCATTGTGCCCAGGTGGCCTCACTAGTCATCTCAAAGTGGCATCAAACCTCCCATCTGGTGGACAGAATCCCCAGGCTGGCCCTCCAGAGACCAGGTCTGACCACAGCCCCCCTCCCTGTGCCCACCAGTGGGGGCAGGGAGCCGGCGGAACCCCCGTGCCCTTTGCTGACCACACCTGCCCACCCTGATACCCCCTCTGCAAGAATAAGTGGCTTGTTGAGGGGAAGCCACTGTGCAGGCTGCTGCCAGCCTTCACACACCCCTAGCCACCTGCTCTAGAGGTGGTGCTGCCGCTTGGAGCCTGAGAGGCCCCTAGAGCAACTGGTTCAGCCCCAAGGGGCTGATCCAGGAGGACAGCTGCCCCCCACCCCCCCGCCTCACCAAGGAGCCTGTTCTAAGGGCGGGGCCGCACTGCAAGCCCGCCTAGGGGTCCCTTGCTTTATTTCCAGGGAAGAGATCGGGGGTGGATGCGTGTGCAGAAGTGGATGTGTAGGAGTGGATGTGTGTGCAGGAGTGGATGTGTGTGATGTGTGTGCAGGAGTGGATGTGTGTGCAGGAGTGGATGTGTGTGTAGGAGTGGATGCGTGTGATGTGTGTGCAGGAGTGGATGCGTGTGATGTGTGTGCAGGAGTGGATGTGTGTGCAGGAGTGGATGTGTGTGTAGGAGTGGATGCGTGTGATGTATGTGCAGGAGTGGATGTGTGTGTAGGAGTGGATGCGTGTGATGTGTGTGCAGGAGTGGATGTGTGTGTAGGAGTGGATGCGTGTGATGTGTGTGCAGGAGTGGATGTGGATGCGTGTGCAGGAGTGGATGTGTATGCAGGAGTGGATGTGTGTGCAGGCGTGGGTATGTGTGCAGGAATGTGTGACAGTGTTTACCTTCCATACTTCCTTTTTCCTCTCTCCTTCCTGTGAACTCCTGGTTCCCAGGTGCCCCGCTTGCTCCACAACATCCTTACCCACCAGAAGGCCCCTGGCTCTGCAATGCCACCTGCAGCTGCCCAGCCCTCCACCCATGGGGCCCTTGTTCCACCTGCCACCGCTCATGAAACTGGATCACTCAGCTCTTCACTGGCTCGCCTGTGGCTACTGCCTCAGTTTACCTGTGCAGTTGTCCCTGGCTATCTGGCTGGGTAGGACTTGCGCTTAGAAGCAGTCTGCTCCCTGTGTCCTAAGGCCAGGGAAACTGTGTCCTAAGGCCAGGAGGTGGCAGCCTCTGCCCTCCCGAGACAGGGACCTGTGAGCAGCCTGGCTCTGTGGCTTGGAGCCTGGGGGTCCCCTGACCTGTCTGTGAGCACTGCCCCTCCCATCAGGGAGGCACTCAAGAGCTTCCCACCTGTGTCACAGGGAGTGGGGCCTGGAGCCTGAAGAGACCTGTGGGGGCCACATGAGCACCTGAATTCAGCTCCTCTCTGTCCTTTCCCTTGATTCTGAAATTGTCCCCACAGCGCAGGTGCACCAAGGGAGCTGCCTTTGCAGCCTGTCCTGAGCCCAGGGAGGAGAAGGGCGGCTCCCCTTCCTGATCGCCCTAGGCCTAGGTCAACTGGGTGGGCCCAAAGGGACTTCTGAACCCCCACTGCCCAGGCAGCCCCCTTTCCCTAGATGCCCCATGGCCTGTCCCCTGAGAGCCAAGCCAAGCCCATATTCAAACAGGGCTCTGGGGTCTGGGTGCTGCCCTGCTCCCAACCAGGGAGGTTCTGGGCACGGTTGCCTGGACCTTCCCTCCCAGTGCCATGGACTGCTGCCCCCGCTGCCCAACCCCAGAGGGCAGTGATGGGCACCGTGCTTTTCCCTGCCCCATCCTGGGAGCCTAGGCCTTGCCCTCAGTAGAGGCAGATGGGACCCAGGGATGGCTGCCCCTGCATAGACATGGCTGCCTCCCAGGGGAATCTAAGGGACCCAACACCTGCGTCACAGATGCAAGGGACAGACTGTAGGTGAGGCAACTCCATCCACATCCACGCTGAGCCACGCACTAGCATGTGGGGCTGGGCACCACCAAGCCTGCTGTCCCGCCTGGGCCACCCCAGCCTGGGCTTAGACTCAGCACCCCGTGGGGGTGGAGGAGTGGGGCAGGGGAAGGAGGTGCCCGGGGCAAAAGCCGGATGTCTTCAGAGTGACCCTCTGGGGCTAGGCAGGGCTGGGGACGGGGGAAAGGCCTGCTGGCAGAAAAGCGCGCACCGGCCCCTCTGCCGAATGGTCCCCACACTCCCTGTGCAGACGCGGCAGGCTGCAGGGCAGAAGCTTCCAGCCCATTCCTGGTGGCCAGCGTGCTTTACTTGGTCCTTGATGAAGAGAATCGTTCTGACAGGCGGCTGCGGTGAGCTCCTGGTACCTTCGAAGCTTCGGCGTTGCCTCTCCAGGAACCTAGACATGAACACTCGTCCCCATTCAGGCCAGACTCCGAGGCTCAAGGGTCAAGGCCCAGGCCCGTTGCCAGGATGCCCTCTCTCTGGGACAGGTGTAAGGCCCCTTGGGAGGGGTGTGCAGTTGCAGAGGATCTTTAAGCAGGGTGAGGAATAGGGAGGAGAAGGCTTTGGGAGGCTACAGCCCATGCTCTCTGGGTCACCAGTTGCCAGCCGTGTACCCCTCCCCCACTTTGGGGAGAGGCCAAGGACCCCAGGATGGGAGGGAACGTGCAGTGCGGGCTCACCCAGAGCTGCCCAGCCTGAGGGTCCCTCCCATGGGGACTGCACCCCTACATCTGCTGGGGTAGCCTCTGCTTAGGGTGGTTTCAGGTGAGTTCTGATACGTCAAACACCACCATCAGGACCAGGGCAGACAAAAGAAAAGTGAGCTGATCGGAGTGTCCCAGTTGGGGGCTCACAGCCTTGAAGGAGGGCAGGGCACAGCCCAACGGGGTTGGCCGCGAGGCCCTGGGCCTGTGGCTGAGGTTGCATCTGGCATTGGCAGCGATTGGAACAGGCCGGCCCACGGAGCCCTGTGGCCTTCGCCAGTGGCTCATGGTGCCACAGGAACTGGAGCAATGGGTGGCCTCCCTCGTCCAGTGTCTGAGTCAAGGAGGACTGGGTCCTTCCCCTAGGAAGGACCCTGCTCTACTCCTGCAATTTACATTGTTCCTGTTTCCCCCAATCTCCCCCCAGGGACCTACGGCCATTTGCTGGGGTGGCTAGTTTGGAAAGGGGGATCATCAGACTCAGAGGGATAACTGGACACTGGCTCAAACCTGCCACCCACTCCTGGGGACACAAACATCCCTTAGATCTAATAGTCAGAGGAGGGGCATGTGGAGGCCAGGTTGCCCACGGAGTTCTAGCTCAGGTCCAACTCTTGGTGGGTGCAGACATTACTTCCCCAGCCTGTGACGGGTCAGTAAACAGATATGTGGCAGCCAACAGAGCCCTCACATTTGTCCGCTGACCTGGGGGGTGGAGGCTACTATGGTGGGAAAGGCGAAGTGGAAGCCATTGGGGTGGGAAAATCGTCAGTCAAAAGCAATCTGCAGCCCTGCAGGGACCACAGAGGTCAGCGCTGCCACTGAGGACTTGGAAGACGCTGGGCGGCGACCCCACCACAGCCCCATTCCACTTGTCTAAGTGGTTTGTGCAGAAGACGGGGGGCTCCTGGAGAAAGAAGGACAGTGAATTCTGGTAAACTTAACCAGGACTCCAGCTGCAGCTGCTGTTTCAGATGTGACTGCTGATCGCCGGGGGAAATCAAAGCATCCCCAGACACCTGGTGTACAATCACTGATCTGGCGGAAGCTTTGATTTTTAAAAGAGATTTTAAGTCTTAGAGCAGTTTGAGGTTTACAGAGAAATTGAGCAGATTTGAGATTTCTTATAAAGTACCTCTCCCTACACAGTTTCCCTATCATCAATATCTTGAATTAGTGTTTACATCTTTACAACTGATGAGCCAATATTGATCCAGTCATTGATCAGGTTACATGAGGGTTCCCTCTTGGTGTTGTACATTCTGTGGGTTTCGGCAAATGCATAATGGCATGTGTCCACTATTATAGTGTCACGCAGAATTATTTCACTGCCCTAAAATCTGTCTGTGCTCCATTAATTCTTCCCTCCCTCCCCACTAACTCCGGGAAAACCGCTGATCTTTTGACTGTCTGCAAAGTTCTGCCTTTTCCAAAATGTCACATAGTGGGAAATTATACAATCCGAAAAGGCAGGGAGACTTCTTCAGATTGGCTGCTTTCACTTAGCGACATACACTTAAGGTTCCTCCACATCTTTTCATGGCATGATAGCTCATTTCTCTTTATCACTGAATAATATTCCATTGCTTGCATATACTAGAATTTGTTTATCCATTCACCTATTGAAGAACTTCCTGGTTGCTTCCAAGTTTTGACGATTATAAATAAAGTTGTACAAACATGAATGTGAAGGTTCTTGGGTGGACGCACGTTTTTAGTTTATTTGGGTAAACACCTAAGGCTGGGTTGTATGGTAAGACTGTTTGCCTTTGTAAGAAACGACCATTAATTAGGTCATTCCCACATGGATCAGGATATCACATCTGAGCTGCCTCCAAGATCCAAAGACACCCACGAGGCAGTGTGCTTCCCAGATGGCTGGATTGTATGGTAAGACCATGTCTGGCTTTGTAAGAAACCACCAAACTGTCTTCCGAAATGGCTGTCTCATGTTGCATTTCCACCAGCTATGACAGAGTTCCTGTTGCCCTATGCTCTTGCCACCATTTGGGGATGTCAGTGTTTTGGATTTTGGCCATTCTTATCGGCAGCTCATTGTTGTTTTAATGTGCAATACTCTAAAAATCTCTTTTTATCAGCCTATTTGCCATCTGTATACCTTCTTCGGTGAGGTGTCTGTTCATAACTTTTCCTATTTTTACATTCAGTTGTTTGTTTTTTGTTGTTGAGTTTAAGAGTTCTTTGACTACTTTGGAGGCAAGTCCTTTATTAGAGATGTGTTTTGCAAAGATTTTTCTCCCAGTCTGTGGCTTGTCCTTTCATTCTTTGAACAGTGTCTTTTGCAAAGTAGAGCCCTTTATGTTAATGAAGTCCAGCCTATCAGCCATGATCCAGTGAATGCTTTTGATTCCTTGATACCTCTGAGTAAAGGCCACAAAAAGCTGGTTGCTTTTAGCTGGTAAGGGCAGCAATACACGTGCACGGTCCTGTTCTGGGGTAGAGTATACCAGCTCTGTGTCATAATCCAGCCCACAGCGACTTTGACCAGCTTTCCCTTCCACAGCCATCGGCTGGCCCATCACACTGATGATGGCAACTGATCGTGGTGCAGAACTTGTGAGCAAATGTGGTGAGCAGAACTGGCATTGAATCAAGGACAACGTGATAACACGGTGTGTGCTGGGAGGTGGGGAATGAATCCCACGGAAATCGGGGCGGGGGCCTGACCCTTTGATGAAACTGCTGGGGGTCCAGTGGTCTGGGGCATGCTATGATTTACCTCTGGTCCTTCCTTCTACCTAAGAGGAAGCACGGTGCCTCATGGGTGTCTTTGGATCTTGGAGGCGGCTCAGTTGTGATATCCTGACCCATGTAGGAATGGCCTAAAATGCTGTCTGCTTTCTGTGAGTCCCAGAACAAGAGAAGGCTCTGCCGCAAGTGGAAATGAAAGCTGCTGAGCCACTGGAGCCACGCGACCAGCAGATGCCACAGCATTGGAGGTGTCTGTGGCAGATAAGCATGCTGTGTGGGGGCCGTGGCAGGCTCCTGCAGGTGAAGCCCAACCCAGGGTCCTTAGGATTTTGGAGTCAAGCTCTGCTATCCTCTGTGGACAACTCTGTGGATTGCGTCCAGGCATCCATAGAGACTGGACACATAACTGCAGGCCACCAAGTCACCATGTGGCTGGAACTGTACATCATGAGTGGGATGTTGCTGGACCCAGCGAACATGGAGTTGGGTGTGCACAGCTGTGTTCTGTGTTCTGTCAAGTGGAAGTAGCATATACAACCCCGGGCTCAGGCAGGCCCTGAAGGCGCGACCAAGTTACATGAAAAAGTGGCTCCATTAACCATGGTCCTGACTCCTGCCATTCCGTGGTCATTCTCCCAGCCAGCACCTGTGGCTTCCTGGGAAGCTCCCTGCAGCTTGATCATTGCAGAAGAACAAGTCCGGTCCCAGCTTACAGATGCTTCTGCGGGACACACACGGATGGCCACAGAGCTCAGCCCCGCTGAGCACCAATGGCGAAGGGAAGCGCTCCCAGCGGGCAGAACTCTCAGCAGGGTCCCTGGCTTTCCCTGTCCCTGGAAGGAGAGGTCAGAGCTGCCGGTCCCACTCACTCGTGATCAGTTTTGCTCCTAGCTTGGTCAGATAGATGGTCAGGGACTTGGAAGGAACACATTTGGGAAAATGGTAGCAGGAGGTGTGGGAAGTGGTGTGTGGTTAGAGCTCTCTGAAGGGCAGAGCGTGAAGATCCTTGGAGCCCATGTGATGTCTGACAAAGAGCAACCGCCTCAGCCGAGGAGAAGCTCAGCGACCAGGTAGACAAGAGGGCCCTTTCTTCGGCCGTAGTCAGGCTCCTTCCCCAGCCACCCCATCATTGCCAGCGGGCTGATGAAGACAGGAACTGTGGCAGCAGGGATGGAGGTCACGCATGGGCTTGGCCCAGGGACTCGACTCACCAAGACCCATCTGCTAAATGCCCGCCTGCAAAAGCAGAGACAGAGACAGGCGTTGGCCTCAATATCGCAGGTATCTGCCAGCTTCCAGGTGGGGTGGATGACATGAGACAGCTGCCGGCATGGAACAGGAGCCACCGCGCTTTCGTTGGGACAGTGGCTTGCCCTGCACGGACACTGCACTTTCCTTGAGATAGAGGCTTGCTCTCTAGGAGGGCTGGACCGGCTCTCCTTGCCCACAGTGCTTTTGCCAAAACCACCCGTGGACTCTGGAGTGCCTCATTCAGCATTCTCACCATTCTGCTTAAGGAACTCGCCACAGTTAGTGCAGTGGGGTAAAGGCCCCATGCTCGTGACCCTGGAGGACTTCTGTGATCCCCCTCCCCCCGAAGTAGCTGAACAGGACTGTGGAATGGCCTTCGGGAGATTCATGTGACACCCGCCGAGTGGGGTGCTTTGCAGAGCCGGCCGTGTCCCCCAGGAGGTGGACCAGGCTCTGGAGCGGCTTCTCCTGCAGCCCAGACCTCACAGTTCTGGGAGTCAAGAAGGAGAAGTGGCAACGGTTTCTCTTTCACCCTCTTAAAATTCTACTGGTGACACGTTTGTCCCCACAACTCTAGGTCCTCCTGGTGTAGAAGTCTGAGTGCTCAGGGAGGAGGGTTTCCCGCAGAGGCACTGCTGTGGCTCCACTAGCCTGGAAGATGAGATTGCACAGCCCATTTTGGATCCTCACTCTGGAGAATCAACAGGTAAAGAAGGCGGTTACGGCCCGGGCCAGGGCGCTGATCTTATCAGGGGAGCTGGCTGGCCGTGGTTGCACAGGAAGGTGAGGAGGAGCACGTCTGGAATGCGGAGGGTCCCCTGCAGCGCGTCTTCAGGATCCCATGGCCTGTGATTAAAATCATGGAAAACCATTGCTCCCGATCCAAGCAGAGCCAGT